CGTTGGCGTAGGCAGCTCCTTATCCAGAGCTGGCTTTTTTACTGGTACCGGGGTGGATGAGCTCTCAGAGGGGTGCGATATTGATTGGGGCTCGCTGTCGGCATCTGCTGGGGGCGGAGGCAGCGGCTTCTCAGCCGGTGACGGCGCCTTGCCGGTCTCCATCTCCGTTGAAGGTGGTGTATCCTTTGTTTCTGTCATGGTAAGCGACTGGGGATCCTTGTCGTATGCGAATCCCCAAAAGTCTTCTTGTCGGAGCGTGTCAGTTCGTTTGTGCAGGGGATCCTTGACTTTTTGACGCCCCAGGCTATTCTCGCCGTTAGCAGCGAGAGCTCGTCGGCTCACAAAGTCGGCGAGTGTTGGCGTTCTAAGCAGGTCCTCGCCACGCCTATCCTCCTCCAGACCAAGCCAGTCGTCCGAAGCGTCGTCGGCAAAATGGTTCTGCGCGGTAAAGAACGAAGGGGCCTCGCTACCGGAGTCGTCGCTCAACCAGTTGCTTCGCTCCGTTCGTGGTTGCCCTGAGAGATATTGGTTGATCCAATCCTGCGTAAAATCCTTGATGGATTTGCCTCCTTTCCTACTAAGCAGGTCTCGTCCAGGAGAACGGCTGAGAAGGTTGCTGTACAGATGCCGCGCCGATGTCTCCGCGGCAGAAGGCTTTAGTAAGTCCGTATTATTTATCTCAGGATCTTGGTGTATACCACTTCGCATCGACGCTGGAGAGCTGTCTCCAGAGGCGCGATCAATACCCGCGAACTGACTTAATGACCAAGAAAGCCTCCGCGGGCTGGGTGCCGCATAAGGTGAGCCCCAAGCAGTTGTATAATAAACACTACTCTCCTTCTCTCGGTTATCCGGGGACGATGTGGATGACTCCCAAGCCCCACGCAATTTTGGAAGTGTCGGGAGGGCAGTTGTTGGAGGATTTGGGGTGACGCTGTTGGTCCTGGGGGGTTGCTGCGGGCCAGGGGATCTGGAGGCCGAGCGATTCGACACTTCTCGAGATGCGTAGGATGGTACCAATGGTACGGTCGAATGCGAATCGTCAGGACTGTCGTCGGGTATCACGATGAAAGGCGGCGGACAAGACGCCGAATTGGCGGAAGGAACGAGCGGATCTAAATCTATTAAGAGAAGAAGAATCGACTATTTAGCTGCTGAATCGCGTACGATGACTGGGAGGAAAGGTCATGGCGCTCGATGGCGTTTGGTCTAACACAATGCCATCAATGGACAATTGACCTGAGGAACTGTATCTGCGTAACACGTAGAAGAAACACACACCTTCCGTGTCGACACCTGCAGCAAGCCCTTGCTTGCTGCTCCCCTTATCGTCCAGAATGTTGAAGCATGGAAATCAGATAACAGAAAGTCGTAAACCACCTCGTAGATCGTCTTCACCCTGAATTATGGGAATCAAATCAAGCTGCGCGCTGTGGTGAACGGGCGTTCCCGCGGCTTAGACGTTGAATGGAGAACGTGCTTAAGAGATTCCTTTAGGAGGGAAGCCTTCAATGATGAAAAACTCAAAAGCTGACCCTAACGAAGGTAGAAAAGGAAAGAACGGACGAATAATTAGAGACAGCTAAGGGATGCGAAAATCTTGGACCATGGCGCATACACAAAGGAGAGCTGGATCGAGGGTGGACGATGAGGAAGGTAATCGAGACTATCGACGGCGTGGACTAAGGGGAGAGAAGCGATGGCCCTTTTTTTTTAATCTGAAAAGATGTCTTGGCTCCTTCAGTCTTGGTTCATGTCACGATCAGCAGAGCAGAACTTAAAAAACGCCAGACTACGGAGGAGACTAGGAAACTCATGGGCGGATAAACCTCGAGGGGCCAACGGCCGTTGAGGAGGAATTATTCAAAGGTCGCAGAGGTCCTCCGGGTTCTCGGTATCATCTGAAATTTACAGCATTTTACAGATGACTGGGTATTCCTTTCTCTATCAGAAGATTGCTGGCAGATTGATATGTTCTCATTACTCTGAAGTACTCCCCTGATGCTACGTATCTGGTGCTTGATTGTTTACACAAGATGCACCTTTGATGGCTCGTTGGTTACCTCAGTAGCTTTGACCGCCATCTGGTGACTGTACTCGGCACTTGCATTTCGCCTCAGAATATTGATCTTCTGCAACGGAGCAGCATGATAGCAGAACAAACTAATTTCAGCATCAATATGCTCAAAACATGTCACTTTGATGAAGATGATTATTTGTTATTACTCCTTTGCGGGTGACGCGCCCTCGCGGTTCGTGTCTTCGATTCAGGGGTAAAACTACGCTACGAACCACGGTTCCCTTACTCGGTGCTCCGTACACTGATAACTCCGTTGCTCTACAGTTCCTCCCAACTAGAGGACACTATTACACCGGCTTACTCATCAAATTGTGCATGAAATATGCATCAGATCTGAATGACCCGCCGAGTCATCCAAAGTCACTGGTGATCGAAAAGACACATACTTAATCAAGGTTGCACCAAATCCCACCAACTCCAACGGAAGACTACAGCTGGTCTGAAATTGGGTCTAAGCCTACCTAGTGAATTATACTTCGAGAACGCAGTAACTTCACTTCTAACTCAACAATAACTGTTCAGATCTCTAGAAGCTGGTATATCCGGCTGGTATATCATACAAAGAATAAAGTCCACCTGGGATCCCTTATCATCCTTCTCACCCTAGAAAATATGATCCTAGTGCGTGGGGCAGGTCAAATCGAACTTGGCCTTACGGTCCGCGGTAAAAGCACCCCAGTTCTTTTCGTCCTGCATCTGACCGTTGTCGCCCTTGGTGTCGGGCTTCCAGGACTCGTCAAAGGCCTCAAAGTAGAAGACATCAACACCCCATGCGAGAATGCCACAAACGGCAGACTTGTAGTACTCAGCAGCATTCTCAGTGCTGGCGACGGCCGGTCCGTAGTTGGTTCCACCATCTGTTAAGGCGTCAGATTCGATATCCACCATGAACCCATGTAATTCAAGAAATGCAAAACTTACTTGTGGGCCATCCGGTCTCGCCATTTCCGAAGCGGATCTTGTCTGCATTAGAGCCGGCAACTTGCTCGATGTGGCCCAGAGCCTGAGACATGTCATCGAAGTATGTGTTGGTGGCATTGCTCAGCTCCTGGCCCTGCCAGTAGGCGAAGCCGTTGGCCAGGCTATGTAAAAATCAGCCGAGTTCTTGAGACAGCATGCGGGAGGCAAAATGAGCTTACAAGTAAGTGACACCACCCTGAATGATGGGATCGGCCGTACCATCAGCAAATTTGTTCCAGCTGTCCACCATTCCGACAGTAACCTTGGGGAACTCCTTCTGGACCTGCTGGATTCTGGCGAGCAGAGCCTGAGGAGTGAGACTCTTTCGGTAGAGCACTTCGGAGCCGACGGTGATGGCGTCAATCACATCCTCGTTTCCAGGGACAGATGCTTTCAAGGCGTTGAAGTCGTCGGTGAAAGACTGATCGTAATCGGGCCTACCGAACGGGGAAATGTTAGCAACCTAGCCCCTTGACGTAAAGAGGATGTAATGTGGCGTGGTTCATACCAGACACCCAGGACGACCTTGAAGTTCTTCGCCTTAGCTGCAGGGATGATATTCTTCGCAGTGTCGCAGTCATTTGCGGAGTAGATGCGCACAAGAGAAGTCACTTCTTTCAACGTATCGAAATCGGTCTCATAGTCCGACTGGACTTTGCATTTGCCGTCTGCGTTTTTGTTGCCGAGGGCGAAACCCAAAGTTCCATTCTTAGTGGCGACAGCGGTACCGGCCGCAAGAGCGAGAGGGAGCAAGGTGCTGACACGCATTTTGGATGTATGTGCTGTTCAAACGGCAAGAGAGAACGAAAGTGATAAGTCTAGTTGATGTTATAAACACAAAACTGTTTCTATTTAAGCACGGGAATAGACGGAAAACAATACCAGATAAAAATAGCGACCGGAGTAAGGAGAGATCGGAAGGAGGGACAGTTATGCAATAAATACTGGAATCAAAGACTGGCAACCGATCCTGTACGTCAGGCGATGAGCAGAGAATGTGGAGTAGTTGGAACTTGGAACGATCGAGAGAATAGATAATTCAACGGATAAAGGTCGCCTCCTGAAGGAACTGGAAGAGAATGAACAAACGAATGTTTGGTTTTGGCTCTCTTTGGCCCGGGGCGCGGAGGAGAATTCGCCTTCACCCAGTAAGGCAAGGCACCGATCAGTACCCTTAGGTAACGTACCTAGGTTCCCGTCTCAGGGCCAGCGCCCCCTATGGAACAAATCCAACTGTGCCACAGTCTGTCACCCAATCCGAGATCTCAGAGGCTTGAGCGACCCACGCGCGGTACCTGGTTTAACGATATTGGGGCAAAACGCTTCGGCGATCCCTATCACCCTTGGTGCTTCTGCCTTCCGGGCTCGTTGGGGGTGAAACCTCCACAGGGGTCTCTGGTTCCCCAAGTGGTTTAGTGGGTCAGAGAGGCCTGGACCCTGTCTCTTAGACAGTAATATTCAAGAAAAATCCTCTACCAGGTGATAGTTTGAACCAGACCTACAAATATGATGGCGCACACGCATTTCTGCAACTCAGTTCTAAACTTCTTTTCCGACAATTTTCCACAACATAATCGCTGCCACCTACTGTTTCTACCGCCGCTTGGATGAGTTGAAAAGGAAACGGCTCGACGCGATACCTTATGTGATCCAAGCCGGCTAATAATATACCAGCAGAGGGAGAGTCAATGATGTCACACGCTTTGAATAACCGCGCATACATTATCGAAGGAACCTTGGATGTTCAATTGATGGAAGAACCAGAAACAAACAACCGGCCAAGTCCGCAACAGCGACTTCCCCTCATCTTTGAAGTCGCCATTCCACCGAGTGTACCGGTCTAGCCTGGGTTCTTATCCGATCGTGGTTGTTATCGGAGAGAGAACTTTCCATCCGATGAACGTTGGAACTGCGCAAACTTAGACACTTTGCCTCTCTACCACACCATCCTCCCGCAAGCTTACCCTTGGTAGTTATCGAGAACTGACTTTGCCTGTTCAGGGGTGATTTTACGACCAGTCACGCCATTGAATCTTGTACTGATGGCCTGCCACTGGTCCCTTTTCCATTGAGCAGCAATTTCACGAAGTAGCGTCACATCCTCCAGGGTGCAGTCCTGGTCGATGTCCTGGTGACGAGAGTCATCGTACTCTCCCTCGTAATCAATCTCTTCGAACTCCAGCACAGTCTGTCAGCCGCCTTGCCAATCATGGTAACGGTTGAGTGAAATCTTTGGGATTCCTACTTACTTTGCCATCTGTGACCAGATGGTCGGGGCTTGTTAATCCACCATCATGCGGCAGATTGCTCGCATACCAGAAAGTTCTGCGGTCCGCTTTTCTGATAGTCTGAAGTCTGTCTCCCCGAATCCGATTAAACTGGTCTTTCAGCTCTTCAATGAAGCAGTCGCTCAATGCGCTGAAAAAATGTGCCCTCGAGATCCCACGAGTCTCAAGCTGATGAAGCACCCTACCATCGTCTCTGTTCCATTTTGACGCATCGTTGTTGCCTTTGTGCGATCAGCCCGTCATTTTCTCACCGTTTAAATCCTCGACTGTGTTTACCCGGCCTGCTCCCCATAATACCCGTCCATAAGGCTTCAATCTCAGTTTCAGTGTGCAAAAAGTTCGTGTTGTGCTTTGCAGCAGCCCTAGCTCGCTGTAAAGATCAGACTTCTTGTAATTTAGCATCGTTTGATGGGTATTGCTGCTACCCTATACGCATCAGTGGCCAGCAGGTCTTTGCACAGCGTCCTGGGTCTGAAGATGGAGGTCAGAGGAACCCGATAACGAATGCCGTCGACGACATAGACCGGCATCTCGATCAGTTCTCAATTTTCCTCAGAATTAAAAGAAGCTGTAGCAATTATAATACCTAGCAGCATCAATCCCGGTTATTTACAGGAACACATGAGTGTATGGATATTTTGTTAGTCTCGAGAATTGGCATACTAAGGTACATTCTATAAAAGGCAAGCACTGGTCAAAGCCGGGAGGAAGGCATGAGCAAATTCTGCCTTCAGAAGGAGCTTGGACGTTGGTCTTGTCTGCTGAGTACAAAGAGACAAGTCCTTCATTTGTAGCAAGAAAGTTGAATAGCTCCTTCATAGGTCAAGGAGACGTCCCTTCTGGATCCACACAATGCTCGATATATACAATCTGGATGGCCATCTTCTGAGGGAAAGGGAACAGTCAGCGTGCATCATGTTCGTGATGATAGGAAAAAGCTGATTTCTAATGGCAAGCTTTCAGTTAACTTGGGCTGCGAACCAAAAGCTTTCTATTATATAGACCATTGAGTTGCTTAAATGCAGTCCGCGGAGAGCCATCTACGAGTACCGAGGCGGTTTGCTTATAGGTGGTCCGAGCGTCTCGAATTTCCAACTCCGACACAGAGAGAGAACACCTTGCGCGTCGGAGATCATCGAGCAGGCCGAGCATCACCACTTCCCTTCCAACCTCCTCTCCACTACCACATTAGAGCTTCGTCTTCTGCATGCAAGCGAAGTCATAGACAAAATGCGATTCTCCACAACAACCCTTCTGATCTCCGCCCTTGGGTGGATCACAGCCGTGGCTGGACACAACATCCAGCTCAAGGCGCACTCGAGAGAATGCTTCCACGAGACATTGCACAAGGATGATAAGATGACCGTTACCTTCCAGGTCGGTGACAGGGAATTTGGTGGCAGCGGGAACCTCGAGATTGATTTCTGGGTACGTCCCCTGAAACTCAAGCTTTCGCTGGATCATTTATTTTGATTGTCGGATCGGTCACGAGGCAATCGGTCAACGGACGGGATTTATAAGTTACTGATCCGAATTTTCTGCTGGTTTTACAGGTTGAGGACCCCCTAAAGAACCGCCAGTACTTCAGACAAGCCGTCTCATCGGAGGACTACTCGTTCACCGCGCACACCGATGGAAAGTACGTTTACTGCTTCAGCAACGAGGGTTGGACTTCGAACTCGAAGGAAGTGTCCTTCAACGTTCACGGAATTGTCTACGTGCCGGAACATGAATTGGCCCAAGATCCCCTGGAGGCGGAAGGTATGAGCATGGCATATAGGCGTTGGACACGGGCTGTGCGGTGTCAGCTAACGGCTTCTTTGTGCAGTGCGTAAACTCTCGGAGGCTCTGGCTCAGGTGAAGGATGAACAGTCGTACATTGTCGTTAGAGAGCGGGTGCATCGAAACACTGCGGAGAGCACAAACGCCCGAGTGAAGTGGTGGAGCATTTTCCAGCTTGCCGTGCTCATTGGTGAGGGTATCTTCCAGGTCTGGTGGCTGAAGAGATTCTTCGAGGTGGGTGTGACGATACCAAAACAGGCTTATCGATAGTTGCGCTGACATCAATGTTCTAGGTTAAGCGTGTTGTCTGATTACATCCAGAGACGAAGTAATGGATCAATATCGTGGGTGACGATTGGGGTCTTCGATTGCATTTACGGTCTGAGAGTATGGCCTTTAGCATCCCTGCAATAAGACTAGTTCTTTTGAATGAGCGCAATGAAAATATCCTATTTGCCTGAATAATATATACACCTATATGCTCTGTGGCACCTCTGTTCGTATAAACTAGAGGTCGAAAGTACGTCCCTATTTAGACGACCACGGCATGCAGGGTTATCAGCCCCGCATCCGCAAGCAGGGACACAAACATCCATAACATTGAGCTTCCACGCCCAATGCAGCAACTGATCACATTCTGAATCTAGGGATAGGCAGAGTCCTACGTACAACTTCGTCCCTCATCCAGGTACTCTAAATCTCCAATGGCCTCCATTCTAGGCCCCCATCCAAGCATAGAATCAAACGCCCTCGGTAATGAAAACAAAAACAAAACCGTCCTGCCTCTCAGCGACGATCCCCTTTTCGATATATGCTGGGGGCGACAAGCGTGCGGGGCGTGTCTGAAAGGCGATGCCCCTTGTAGCTGGTGCCCAGTGGTATGTATCACCTCACAGCATCCAATTTGCACAAGGCGAAACGCGATAAATGCTAACCGCAATAGACATCAGCGTGCGTTCCAAACCGATCGCGTGTGCCTATATTAGCGCCCTTCAGCTCGTCGACTATCTGTCCGCTTGGTCCAGGAGAGAGATGGGAGCTTCGGGCCTTGCCGTTCGGGTGCCATGTTAGCACGATTACTTTTTTGACGGCTTGCGTGGCGGTGCTGGGGACGTTGGCGCTTGTTGGATTGGGGATTTTGCTTGGGCGGCTCTGGGAATGTGGAAAGGGGGCTTGGGGGCGTGGATGGGGTCGGTTTACAGGGTGTGTCCGACAGAAGCTAGGGCGTTGGTGGATTCCTCGTAGGTCTGGGTTTGGAGATGCAGAAGAGGATGATTACCAACATCATCAGGCTGAGGCCGAGCCTTTACTGCGTTGAGTGATGCGGTATTAAACGGAAATCTGCATGAGAGATCGACCTTCGAGCTAGGTATATTCGAATATATAACCCTTTATGACCAAAGTTGCTTTAACCCTTGACAACCTGGCTGACCTTGTATTCGACAACCACCGGCTTACCCTTCTCGACTCGGAAATGTCCCTGGCCGACAAAAACTCGGTTCTCGAACTCCTTGTAGCGGTCATCACCGGTCTGTAGTTCTGTTAGAGCATGCAGAAACGTAAATATACCCGCGATGCGGTCTCACCTCAAAGGTAAAGTGAGTAAAGGAGTTTCCAAACGGCGTCGCGCCGTCCTCTGCGGTGCCAGAGAAAACGGCCACTTCCGCGGGCCCCATCGTGACGATGCCGGTGTAGTTCATGTAGAGTAACTGTTAGTTGTATCGTCAGCTTGTAACTTTCAGTCTTCGCTGATGATGTCGTGACGCACAGCATCATCCTTGGTCCTGCGCATGTCCAGTTAGCATCATTCTCCGCTCTCGTGTCAGAATCCCTGATGAAGACTAACTTGATCACTCCGTGGGCATTCAAGCGCAAGTGCTTGTTGTCTGGGTCCGCATGGATGTAATCGTTGCCGGTACCGACGAACTCGGCATCGAGGGCAAGGGAGTAACCAGGATCACTCTTGACAGTGCCACCGGTCATAGGCTTTGATCAATGTAATCTCTGTTAGCGACAAATGCCGTCGATGAATCAGCTTGGTGGCGAGCTTACCACGACCTGCAGGCTGTTGGAACGAGAGGCACTGCCTTGGACGAGGTTAGAAATGTACTGACAGTATTTCTTTTCGAGTAGAAGCTTACCAACAGCAAACCCAGGGTCAATTGTGACCTATACCGAACACAGTGGTTAGCCGTCGAGAACAGCGGCATGCTAATTATCGCTTGTTACTCGCCTGGACTGTGAAGGCAGGCTGGAGAGAAGGAAACTCAGACATGGCGATACAGCGTAGCCGAAATAGATGGGATGTTGCAGCGAAGATAGAAGCCGGGGAGAGACAGTGCTCTTCTCAAGTTGACATGCACAAACAGAATGTAGGATAACTGAGGGGATGCTCAGTTTACCATTTCTAATCAACACAACAAGCTGCCCCGCACTCCCGATAAGGAAATAATCGCAGATCCGATCCTCGGCCATCCCTACGTAACTCCGTAGCTTGTGTAGCTTAATCGACCCACGGACTTAGTTCGGCCAATTTTGGCAGGATGGCTCAAGTTGTTGGCTTTGATTTCAGATGAGAACTGGCACATTAGAGGTCGACTGGAAAATACCGTAGCAATTGCAATGTTCCTGCTGTCTAGTATGGCTTTACATGCATAACCCTTAATGTGACGATTACTCTATAAATATGCTTAAGCGGATTTACCGCAACCCTCCTCGAAGACGCTGTGAAAATAGTATCCAGAACCTTGAGACGAATAGAGTGATCATCTGCTTTCTAAACATATCGACATGCGACCACTGCTTTGCGCGGACTGTAGACAGGTGGTCACCTTACTCATCAAGAATGCCAATGCAACTCGCAAGGTCCCTCAACCCTGTCGCTTCTGACCAAACAGTCCCTGGCAGTAGCCCACGTGGGGACGCCAATAGGCAGAGACTAAAGTGTCCTAACAATCACGAGATAGTGCATCTCAAAGGTCGCGTGTCATGGCGGAGCGTAGATCTACAAAAAAGAAAATCACCGTTGCTTTATTATTGAGGATGTTACCCTCGCCTTCAAAAAACTCACATTGTCAATGTCTCAATATACCTAAGCAGACTGCTTTACGAAGAACGGCTGAGGAAGAAGTGGAACCAACGGAACTGTCGAATGGAAACCTTTCCTGATTGGGTGATTAACTGTTGGTGCCACTGGGACTGATCAGCTGCAATTGTTCATCATCAGTGACGTTGGTGGACGGGTACGTGGGTTACATTAATTTCCTACTCTTTCCACCAACCTTGAGAGCCTATACACGATCAATGTTTCGAGTTCTTTCTGACAGGTGATTAAGGATCGATCCCCGCGTCGTCGGGACGTCTTCCCCAGCACAGGGCAGAAAAAAAAGTACCAATCCGATGATCCCTTATCTTTTTTTGCAGGGTATCCTGGTTGCCAGTGTGACTGCCTTGCCCGTCTTGGAGCAACAACCTCTCGGGCTTCCAGTGCCAGAATCGACCAGTCAGCCCGATGGAGGAATTCAGCTGGAAAAGTCGCGAGTGCTTCGTGGGCGTTTTCTCCATATAACAGGTGAGATACATTCAATTGGCTCAAGACTACGAACTGTCCCTGGTGGAAGTTCAAAACTCCGAATGAAAATACTGATTCTGTGTCTCTTTGTTCAGACCTGCACCCCGACCCTCATTACAAAACCGGAAGTTCTAGCGACGACGGCGCCCCATGCCATCGAGGAAAAGGTTCGGCAGG